ATAGCATATCTGACAAGTGGCTGCCATGTAAGATGGCACAGATCTAGACAAAGTGAAAAGCCAGTACAAAAGCCCTGAAAAGGAGATTCATTTGGAGATGAACATTTAACATCTGGAAGTTGAAAATACTGGTCTAGAGCTTTGGAATAAGATCAAAACTAGATATATAGATTTAAAAAGTCCTTTATATAAAAGAGTTGTCACACCAATTGATTTCTAGTGTCATAGCTTTGTGGTTAGAGAAGATGCTTGATATGATTTGTTTCCTTAAATTTATTGAGACTTGTTTTGTGTCCTATCATGTGGTGCATCCTAGAAAATGTTCCATGTGCACTTGAAAAGTATGTATATTGTGCTGCTTTGGGGTGAAATGCTCTGAAGATATCAATTAAATCCATTTGATCTAATGTGTCATTTAAGGCAGCTCTTTCCATGTTGATTTTCTGTCTGGAGGATCTATCTATTGAACTCAATGGGTTGTTAAAATCTCTGACTATGACTGTATTTCTGTTGATCTCTCCCTTTATGTCCATCAAGATTTGCTTTACATATTTAAGTGCTTCTGTGCTGGGTGTATAAATGTTTACAGTGTTATGTCCTGTTTTTGGATTGTTCCCTTTATCATTATGTAGTGTCCTCCTTTGCCTTGGTTTTAAAGTCTGCTTGTTGGATTTAAGTATTGCTACCCCAGTTTTTTTTTTCCTTTCCATATCCATGAGCTATCTTTTTCCATCTCTTTACTTTTAGTCTTGTGTATGTTTTGATCTAAGATGGGTCTTTTTTTCTTATCCATTCAGCTACCCTATGTCTTTTGGTTGGAATATTAAACCGTTTACATTTAAGGTGATTATTGATAGATATGTATTTATTGCCATTTTATTTTTTAACTATGTCCTTTGTTTTGTTTTGTTTTTCTTCTTATAGCAAGCCCTTTAACATTTGTTGCAGTACTGGTTTGATGTTAACAAACTCCTTTAGTCTTTTCTTGTCTGGGAAGCTCCTTATTTCCCCTTCAATTCTAAATGATAGTCTTGCTGGATAAAATAGCCTTGGCTGTAGGTCCTTGCCTACACCAAAAGTAGCCTTGGTTTGTGGGTCCCTTTCATCACCTTGAATATTTCATGCCAGTCTCTTCTGGCTTGAAATGTGTCTGTTGAGAAATCAGTTGACAGTCTATTTGGTGCTCTCTTGTAGTTAACTAACTGCTTTTCTCTTGAGGCTTTTAGGATTCTCTACTTGTCCTTAAGCTTTGCCATTTTAATATAATGTGTCTCAGTGTAGACCTCTTTGGGTACAACTTGTTTGGGACTCTTTTGTTCCTGGACTTGTGTGTGTTTTTCCTTCACCAAATTAGGGACATTTTCAGTCATCATTTCTTCAAATCAGTTCTCGATCCCTTGCTCACTTTCTTCTCCTGGTATTCCCATGTTGTGGATGTTGTTACACTTTATGTTGTCCCAATGTTTTATTAAGCTCTCCTCAATTTTTTAAGTTCTTTTTCCTTTTTGTCTCTCTGCTTGGGTAATTTTTCCTACCTTGTCTTCTAAATCGCTAATTCAGTCCTCTGCTTCATATAACCTACTGTTTATTCCTTCCAGTGTATTATTTTTCTCAGGTATTACATTCTTATTTCTGACTGATCCTTTCTTATAGGTTCTATGTTTTTTTTTTCAGGGTGTTGAGTATCCTTATAATCATTACTCTAAACTCTTTATCTGATAAATTGCCTCCCTTTCATTTAGTTCTTCTTCTGTAGGATTCTCTTGTTTTTTCATTTGAGTCCTGTTTCTTTGTCTTCCCATTTTGGCTGCATCTTTGTTTTTGCTTCTATGTATTAGGTAGATCTGCAAAAACCTGTCAGATGCTGCCTATCACTGGCCCTGGGTAACCTATTTGGTGCTATCAGCGATCCACAGCTTGCAGCTCCCTCTGCTGGGCTTGAGTGTGTGCAGAAAGGACAAGATAGTTCACCAAAGCCATCTTTTACCATCACTGGACCTCTGGGAGGGTCAGCTAAAGTCTCAGTGCTCCCAGAGATTCACCTTTGCTGTTAGGCTTAATCACTGATAGAGCCTCCAGTTGTACTCAGCAGTCTGGCTTAAACTCCACAGGGTAGGGCAAGAAGGAATCCTGTGGGTGGGGCTATTCCTTCCCCTCAGGCTCATGCCACTTGGAAGGGAGTACTCTGCCCAAGAAAGATGGCTCCTATAGTATGGGCAATGTCTCAACACAGGGATCCTGGCAGCTGTTCCTTCAGCTCTCTCCAGAGCCACCAGCACCAGATTCCTCATGCATCTCTAGTCTGCGCCACCCCTTCCTGCCAGAGCGCAGGATAAATGGCTCTAAACAAAATTTTGTGCATTGGCTCTTTAAGAGGCTCTGCCTCTTCATCCATCTCTGCCAGGTAGAAACCGCATTGCTTTCAAAGCCAGATGTTATTGGGGGTTCCTTTCCCAGTTATGATGCTCTATGCTGGGGAGCTCAGCTTGGGAATTTAGATCCCACACTTCTTGGGGAATCCCATGGGCCACTGAAATATCCCTCCAGAACATAAGCAGCTGTCTGTGGGAGACCAGCCAGCCCTCTGGCACGTCCTCCACACTTCCTTTGTTTTCCTACCAGTCTCGTTGTGGTGAAGTGGTATCTTCCATACGTCCTTGGTTATAAGGCTTCTCTCTAGCTAGTGTTCAGTTGGTATTCAGGATGGTATTTCTTTAATTTAGTTGTAATTCCAGGTTGGTCCTGGGAGGAGGTTAGTGTACCTTCCACTTGCTCCTCCATCTTGGGTCTCGTATGTGTCTGAAGAAACCCAAAACACTAATTTGAAAGAACTTAAGCATCCGTATGTTCATTGCCATGTTATTTACAATTACCTAGGTAAGGCAGCAGTCCAAGTATCCATTGGTGGATAAAACAACTGTGGAACATTTACACAGTAGACTAGTACGCGGCTGTAAAAAAGAAGAAAAATTTTCAGAGGTGGGGAAGACTGGGCAGGAGAGAGTAATGGGAAGGAGGTGGGACAACTGTAACTGGAAAATAAATGAATGAATAAATAAATAAACAAATAATTTTACCCATTGCAACACCATGGGTGGACCTGGAGAAGATTATGCTAAGTGAAATAAGCCGGTCAGAGAAAGACAATTATCATATCATTTCACCTGTATGTGGAACCTAATAAATAAACTGAACTAACAAGCAAAATAGAGCAATTCAGAGAGCAGGATGAGAGCTATGGAGAGGGGCATAGGTTAGGAGATGGAGGGATCAAGTAACATTACTTAATATAAACATCAGATCTTTAAAATAAAAAAAGGTTGTTACACCAAGTGTAATTTTCAGTGATTTGCAGTCAAGACCTATTAGAATCACCTACAGGGCTTTTTCTAACTACATACTTGCATCTCAAGAGGGCCTGGAAAAATCTTGGGAGGGGTAGAAATGCAGAGGTGTGTATGGGTATCAGGGAGGGGGAGAACATAGGCAGATACGGAGTTTCTCCATCATTGATTCTGATAGACCCCTCCCTGCAGCCCCCACTCCTGGCAGAGAACCACTGGTGGATAAAAGGGACTTGACGATAGACGATGCCGAGGAAATGCAGCGATGAAAGGAGTGCTAAAGAAGCTAAAAGTAAAGGAGGGGACTTCAGTACTGAGTGCAGAGGAGAGCAGGACATTTGCAAATCAAGATATTATTGATAATCATTGAGGATAAAGTTTCAATAGTTGGTCAGCTGGGCTAAGGCGGGTTCAGAAGATGTTAGTGGAGACAACTGCTGCCTAGGTACCTGAATGCCAGAGTTAGACTGGCTGCGACAGGGGCATGCTGAGCCCTCTCAAGCAGAGTTCCTTAAAGCCTTCCTTTATATTTGGTTAAGGTCCATCTGTGTTCCCTCTCTTATAGTCCTTGGAGCTGTTGCTATAAGAATCACCTGGGGAACTTTTTTAAAAGTACCCATTCCTAACTTCCTCCTCATCTCAGAATAAGTCAAAATTTCTAAGAGTCATTATTTTTTTTTAAAGCTTCCTAAGTGATTCTAATGAGCTAAGGTAGAAAACTATTGATCCCATAGTATAGTGAACACTTCTGTGACAGAAAATAAGGTTTACTCCTCTTTCGGGCCCCTGAGTTTGACTCACCGTGTGGTTTATGGTTAGCTCTCAGTAAATGTTTGTTGAATCAATGAAAAATTAAAGGGCTAACAAATGAGGAAATGTGGCTAGGGAACATGGCAAGAGACTCTTGTGGGTAGCTTAATAAGTGAACATTTCCTTTCTGTATAATGGTTATCAGGCCAGTTATTAAATACACAGCATCTATTCTGTAATTCTTATTAGTGTGAAACTATTTTCATAAATTGGTCTAAATCACATTATTGATGTTAAATATCGGACTATAAAACTGGTAGGGCTGTTCTCTAAGTTTGTTTGTTTTACTACACATACTGCAAACTATAATATAGTTAACTGTTCCACTGATCAAAATATGCAAGGGAAATTATTGCATTCAGTATAATGAATTTTTGCCATCAATTTAAAGTAAGTTTCAATTTTCACAAAATTAGCCACAATTCAATAAATAGTATTGCATTTAAAATATAATGCTGTGGCTATTCAAAACATCCTATTTACAGGAATATTTATAGTTAATGATTCTTTTTAAAGCCACTGCAATAACTTGTTTGATTCTTTAGCAATTGCCTTTTACCTCCTTTCATAACAGATGGAAAGAAATATACATAAAATATTCTGAAAAAAATAAAATAAACTGGTAGTTACTAACATAATGAATCATCATAATAATTAAATGGAATTTTTCAATCCCAGACATTGTTTAGGGTTCTCCTAACCTAAGACCTGGTAACTAGTAGGTACCTCAATAGATAATAATTCTCTTCGTTCTCCACATGCAGCTAATTCTGTACAAACGGTTTAGAAAATCAAGTTTAATGTGATACCATTTAACATTCTAACACTAAATTTATTTTCCCACAGATGAAAAGAAGTAAAGAAGTGATAACTAAAAATTATAATCAAGAAGAAATAAATATTCTTCAGTGTTGGAAATGTAGAAAATGTATAGCAAGTTCTGGTTGTTTCATGAAGTATCTTGACAATCGGGTGATTAAGGTGAGTACTGCTAACTCTAATCCTTGGCTTCCAAGTACAGGGATGCTGTGCGCACACCCACAGATGCACACATGCACACGTTTCCCTCCACAGCAGACTTAGCTTTTACCTCATTTACATGGCTCACTGAAAACATTTCAAAGTACTCTTCCGAAGGCATCACACCTTCCACACTTACAATTAATTTTACCTTTAGCTGCTCCCATTAATATGACTTAAAGTTTTAAGTGCAATGTCATAGATGTAAGTTAAAGGTAATAATAGTTTTTTTTTTTTTTTTAATCCCTACCATAAGAGAACCATAGTCATCACCACACAATTAGATTCAGGATTCTATTAAGAAATGGAAAACCTATTATATTATATTTTTTTAGTATTCAGTATAGGCCTAGAAAAGAAAGGTCATGTATAATTGAAAAGTCAATAGGAACATCTGAATAATACTCAAAAACTTTTAACTCATTGTCCTGGTAACTATAAATTCTTTTTTAAAGATTTTGTTTATTATTCTTAGAGAAGGGGAAGGGCGGGAGAAAGAGGGAGTGAAACATCGATGTGTGAGAGATACATCAATTTGTTGCCTCTCACACTCCCCCAAAATGGGGACCTGGCCCGCAACCCAGGCATGTGCCCTGACTGGGGATCAAACCAGTGACCTTTCAGTTCGCTGGTCAGCACTCAATCCACTGAGCCACACCAGCCAGGGCAAAAATAAATATTTTTAAAACAACAAAAATAAAATTCCTAAACTTCCCTAAGAACAATATGAAAGAGGCAATATCAAAGAGGTACAAGCTAGGCAGTATCCATGGGTTGATTTTACATGGATTGATTTTCTCAATTCAACAGAATGGTGATAATCATCTATCACTGATTTCTTCCTCTTTGAGAGACACTCAGTTTTTGTTTGTTTTGCTTTGTTTTGCCTCAGCCACATTTGATCATGGTTATTTTCTCTCCACTCCTAACATCTTCTCATTATCTGAGGCCATTTGTGTTTTCTGTAAAATGTCTTTTTTTCTAGCCTATTTTTCTATTAGGTAGATTTGTTTTTATACTTGGAAGTTCTTTATATATTCTAAGTACTAATCCCTTGTTAGTTATTGTATTTGCAAATAGCTTTTGCCAGTTCATATAATGTGTATTTCACTCATTGTGGTCTTTTTTGATGAACAGACATTCATACTATAATATAGATGAATTTATTAATCATATCCTTTATGTTTTGTACTTTTTGTTTAAGAAATTTTTCTATACCCTGAGGGGAAGATATTTTTCTTTTCCTTCTATTGAATACCAGAGTTGAGATAGGCAAGTTTCCTACCGTGTTGCCCTGAGCAGCAGGTTTTTCTCATTTACCTTTACACTACGATACAGCCCAGCTTTGTCCTCCACTAGGGCCTCCCTACCCTGAGCAAACCCTGGACTTTTTTCTTCTGCATTCCATACCCCATGTAGACATGAAATAGCTCTCAGAACAACATTGAAGATTGGGAAGCTGGGGAACAGCATTCATAGCTGTTGGCTCCAGGACCACACTTCCTTTTCCCTGTCCAGTACTGGAAAATGGGAGTCTCACACTCTGCCTCTCAGCCCCCGCAAAACTAGGAACTGGACGGGGAATTACTGTAACTTTTGCTGCAGCATAACCGGGTACCTTCAAAACCCAGTTTGCCAAAAGAAACAGCACAAATAGTACAGTCATTGCTTTTGCTTTTATAATATTGAGCAGGTGTGTCAGCTTGGTGGAAGCTAGGTCATGTGTGGAACCTGAGCTGTAAGAGAATCTGAGACATTTGAGCTTCAGTTTTCCAGCCACTGGCATGTGACAGGAAATTTAGAATGGAATTTTGAAAAACTGTATTATTAGGATTTAATAATTACGAAATCTACAGGGAGAAAGGGGGATTCCTACCACACCTCACTTAAGTCTGAGATACATGAAATGTAGGCAAGAACCAAAACCAAAAGAAAATAGCAAAAGCCCTAAAAACGTAAACATAACAATAACAGAAATGGTCTCCATTTTTGATGGCTAGGGCCATGAGGAGAATGGTGTCCTTCGTTTTAGTTTTTAGTCAGTTTTAATAAACTTGTGTACATATCAAGTTTTTGTGGCCTATAAAACATTGAAATAGAAATTTGGGGGAGGCTGCTGATCTTATGTGCGTGGAATTCAAAACAGATCTGCACTGTATGGGAGTCATCCCATATAACTGGTGAGTGAAGCTGTGAGAGCGGATGAGATGAGCATACATCGTGTGAATGAAGTGAGAGAGAAGAGAGCTTAGGAACATTTAAAAGAAAAAAAGCTCACAAGAGGTGGGGGTAAGATATGTCCAAGTTGTAGGACACAGTGTTATGAAAATCAAGGGACAAAAGGCTTCCAGAAAGAGGTCCTGGTTAGTAGTATTAGTCGTCGTTGGAGAGATGTAGAAGACCAGACATTGCCTTCAATGTGCATGTTATACATTACACAATTCTAGAGGGTTCCAGTCTGTGAAAGGTGCCCCCATATTTTTAGAGTTGGCATACAAACTGGTCATATGTGGAGACCATGCATGAGAACCAGAAGTGTGCAATAGTTGTAGCAAAGAGGAGATCATTGGTTGATGTTCACTGTAGTTTGAGAGTTGTAGGGGCAGATACCAGATTCCAGTGAGTTGAGGGAAATGGAAACTGGGGAATGGTCCAACCCTTACTGTAAAGCATTATAATTATGTGGGTTATGAGTCTTTCCATAACTAGGCTATGAAATGTTCCATTTTCATAACACCATTACAAATACAATGATGGCCATAAATATGAATGAGGAATGTTGAATTGTTATGGATTATATATTTCCTCCTTCACCTTTTTGAGTAGATATTTTGCTCATTTTCTCTCTGGCTTTACTATCCGGGTGGCACCTTTCCTTCAATAGCTATAATATTGAAATAAATTATACTTTCATTGCTTATTACATTTTCAATACTTAATGTGCCCTTTTCTTAGTGTCAGCGCATGTTTATTCCATATTTAATATTACTGCATGCTAGGGACTAAATTGTGTCCTCCTCTTGAATGCACATGTTGAAGTCTTAACCTCCAATATGACTGTTTCTTGAGACAGGTCTTTAGGGAGGGGTAGTTAAAGTTAAATGAAGTCATAAGAATGGGACCCCATTTTGTAAGAGGCTGTAACCTCTTTTCAGAAGTGTCTGCCTCTGTCTGTCTGTATATCTCCCCATTCCCTCTCTCTCCCTCGCCCCGCCTCCTCCCAAGTGAGGACACAGCAGTCTGCAGTCTAAGAAGAGGGCTCTCACCAGAACCTGAACATGCTGGCACTTTGATCCAGACTTCATGCCTTCAGAATTGTGAGGAACATATGTCTATTGCTTAAACCACCCAGTCTGTGGTATTTTGTTACGGCAGACCAAGCAGACTAAGGCACGGCAGGCCCTCCAACAGGCACTGGAGATTCAAAGAACAGAAGAGAGATATTCTGTCCTTATGAAGCTTTCAGGATAGTAGTCAATCATAAATATTAAATTTTAGCTGTGTAGGAAACAAAAAATGAAAAGTATAGGGAGCCATAAGAATAAGATATAGGCAGAGGAATGGACCTAGTTGTGAGGGTGAGGCTTTTCTGAGGAAGTGACTTGTGTGGAGATGGGGGATGAGGAGGGAGGGTGGCACACTGAAGGAAGAACTTCCAAGCTTTGGGATCAGCATATTCAAAAGCCCTGTGTTGGAGAGAATGTGGTATTTCCATGGAACTGGAAGAGTTCCATGTTTGGAGTTGAGCAATTAAGAGAGAGTTTGGCAAGATTTAAGGCTAGGAAGGTGAGTATTGGTTAGGTCATTTATGGTCTTTTAAACCAAAATAAGGACTTTGATCTTTATCCTAAGAGCTGGGAAGTCACCGAAAAGGAGTGATATAACCATTTCTAAAAATATCATTTTGGCTATTGTGTGAAGAGTGAATTAGAACGGTAGCAAGAATGGATGCAGGAAGACTGGCCTTAAGTGAGGCTTTCAACTTTTTTCCATTCATTCCCTTTCAAGTAAAATCTTTTCCCTTCTCAAAGTACAAATAGAAAAGTCAGGCAGTCCAGCAGAATTTGCTTCCTTTACATTTATAATACTTTAAACATTTAATTAGTAATGTTAATTTAAATGTTAATTTTTGTTACCTGATCTTTTTTGTAGTGTTTATAACTGCAGTAGTTAAATAATATACTTGGCTTACTTTTCATGAAAAAAAATGTTAGTGCTAACATTGTAAATATTGTGTTAAACATCTTTAAAAACATTATATAATAGCCCTGGCCAGATGCTCAGTTGCTTGTGGCAGCATCCAGTACACCAAAAGGTTGTGGACTTGATTCCCAGTCAGGGCACATGCCTAGGTAGCCAGTTCAATCCCCGGTTGGGGCCCTACGGGAGGCAACCAGTTGATGTTGTCTCTCTCATCAGTGTGCGTCTCTCTCTCCCCCCACCTCCTTCCTCTCTCTGAAATCAATAAGCATTTCCCTTAGTGTAATGTTCTCTAGGTCCATGCGTTTTGTTGCAAAGGATAAAATAAACCAGTCAAGAGAAAAATAAGTACCATATGATTGCATGCATGCAGATTGTATGTGGATCTAATGAACAAACTGAACCAACAAGAAGAATAGAAACAGATACATAGACAGAGAACAAGCTGACAGCTTTGTGAGATTGGGGGAGTTGTCAAGGGTTGGGGGGATGGAGCAAAAAAGAAAAGGGATACATGGACCTGGATAACAGTGTGGTGATTGAGGGATGGGAAGTGGCTGGAGGTGGAAGAGGGTATAAGAAGGATAAATGGTAATGGAAAAAAAATACAATAAAAAACGAAATATGTCCTTGACTGTGATGGCTCAGTTGGTTGGGCATCTCCTGCAAAGGAAAAGATTGCTGGTTCAATTCCCAGTCTGGGCACGTGTGTGGATTACAGGTTGGGTTTCCGTTCAGGGTACGTGTGGGAGGCAACCAAT